CACACACACACACACACAGACTGACTCTCTCTCTCTCTCTCGTTGTTTTAACAACTCTTTCTTCTTACTTCGTGACACCTGAGGTCTCTTCAGACCATCCATATAAGGCCAGAAATGGTGTCCAGGGACCCTCCGAGCCCAAGACTCTCCAGAGTCCCAGCAACAGTAGACGCCTGTCTTGCTCACCACAGTGTCAGAGCCATCTAGACAGTCCTCCTGCCCATCACACAGCTGCTCCAGCTTCACACAGCCCAGCACCTTGCAGTCCTCCTGCCCTAGACTGCACTGGGCCAGAAAGGGCCCTGGGCACACTCTCAGGCCTGTGGGCACCCACTGCATATAGAGACCTTTCTCACTCCGGGAGCCTGACCTGTTCCCACCAATAACCAAACCCTAGGAGCTGCTCCCTGTGTAAGCTGACCCTTAGGGCTGCCCTGGTCTGTTAGGGACCCCTACATGCCCATGGTTTGTAAGGGACTCGGGATCACCTCTAAGTCTGTAAGGTTCTCCTTCCTGATCTGTAAGCACCCCTCACATGCCCCTGTTCTAAGGGAGCCCCAGTAGTTGCCCTCACAGAGGTAGGGTTGAGGTCAGGCAAGCTGTGCAGGTACAAGGCCATGAGATCCTACCAGTGGGGGCTTCTTCAGTCCTTTCATGGGGGTAGTGCCCCGTCACAGATGCCATTCCAGGCCTCGAAGTCCTGATCTCATGCTGGGATGTGGAGGTGGTGGCCAGCAGTGTCATGGACTCTCCAGAAAGCTGGTGAGGCATCCTAGAGGCTGGGAGAGGACCCACTGGTTCTGTCTCTGTGAGTGCAGGGGACAAGCGAAGTCTATGGGGTCACCTCCCATAAAAGATGATTTCTGATTTCTTCCTGGAGGCTGTCCCTCATCTTGCAGAGATCCCAGGACAGGTGGGCAGAAGCTCGGGCTGGTGACTTGGGGAGGAAGCCTGGAGCCAGCTCAGACATACCTGCAGAAGGTTCTGAGGACCCTCTCTGGGTCTGCCACACTTTGATCTCTGCAGGACCCTGTGAGGGCGTGGTGGGCTCAGCCCAGAGTATCCCCATGCAGGTCCATCCCTCCAGCTTACCTTCTGTTCCTCCCTCTTATCCATTTGCCCCACCCTAACCCAGGGCAGCGCTGGCCCTGACCTGAAGTCTCACACATGCAAATACACCCTCAGACACAAACTTCCGTGCACTATACAAAGACTCCATTCACTCAGGTTCACTTTCACACTAACAAAATCACACAGCCTCACACTAACTTGCTCACACACACAAGTGCACACACACTCACTTCTACACACACACACTCCACACAACATTCTCACATAGCACACACACATTCCGATTCAGACTCACACGGTCATACTACCGCATTCACACTCTCATACTGGTGCACACAAATACAGACACACACCTCCAGAAATACACATATACACAAGCACACACACTGTGACACTAAATGCTCACATTTACACACACAAACACATCTGCTCACCCAGACACACTAATACAGATGCACACACATACAAACACACCACCACACTCACACACATGCACACACATCACCACATTCACACATATACACACATGCAGACACACATCACCACACTCACAACCATCACCACACTCACACACATGCACACACATCACCACACTCACACATATACACATGCAAACACACACAAACATTCACACAGCAAACTCACACATATACAAACATGTACACATGCAGACTCATGACCACACTCACACATATACACACTTGCACACATTCAGACACGTACAACCACACACACACATATACACATGCCACATTTATAATGCACACATGCAAACACACACAACCATACACACATACACACCTACAGACACACACCAGCACTCTCACACATAGACACACATGCTCACATGCCAGCACTCACACACATAGACACACATGCACACACACATCCGCACTCACACACACACACATGCACACACACATCAGCACACTCTCACATACACACATGCAGACACACATCACCACACACACAACCACACACACACTGACACAACTGCCACACTCATCCTCTCACACTCACACAACACATAAAATCATTCTCTCACACTCTCACAGTAACACATTCACAAGCACTCATTCGGACATACAGAGAGAATCACATTAACACACATACACAAACACTGGACTGCTAAGAAAATAAACAGGTTCATCCTTGAGAGGGTTAAACCAGGCTGCTCCTTGGAGGCAAGGATTCTGGGACTTTGTCTGACATAATTTGGATATGCTGTAAGGAGGGACCGGTCCTTGGAGAGGGACATCATGCTTGGGAGGATGGAGGAACAGTGCAGGAGAGGAAGGCCCTCTATGAGGTGGATTGATTCAGTGACTGGGGTAATCAGAATGGGTGTACTGGAGACAGTGCAATTGGCATGGGACAGAGCAGAGTTTAGGGCTGTTGTACATAGGGTTGCTATGAGTCGCAAACGACTCGACAGCACATAACAACAACATACAAACACTCAGATACTTCCATATTAACATACACCCGCACACCCTGGATGAGATGGACTGACACAATAACTGTGGCAATGGAGGAGGTGTGTCAGAGAGATTGACTCAAGATAGGGCAAGATTCAGAGCCACAGTTCACAGGGTTGCTATAAGGTATAGTCTACTTCACGGCATGTAACAACAGCAACAACCAGTACACCCCAATTACTTTCACACACTAACACAAGCATGTGTGTGCATCCGCGCGTGCACACTCAGATTCACACACTCTAACATTAGCATTTATTTATACAATAACACACAGCCAAACTCATTCACAAAGACACACATTATCACTCAAACACATACACTTGTATCTTACACATTAGCACACTCATGTGCATATCTGTTCATTCACTCACTCTCTCTCTCTCTCTCTCTCACACACACACACACACACTCCACTCATTTGCTCACACAGTCACACATTCAGTAACACACAATCAGGACTCAGTACCAGGCCCTTCATTCATTCTGTCTTCTCCCGCTTACCCTTCACACCTAGCCCATCCCTTCAGGAAGCCACTCAGAGACCCCACCACCCATGTCTGTCAACATGATCGCATGCAGAAAGATTCAGGCCTTGACTCCCAGACATCCCAGGCAAGGCTTGTCCCATGTCTGCCACCTCCTCAGGCCAGCAGACCCTGTGTCCACTCACCTCCTCGGGCCAAGGTACCCCATGTCCACTCATTTCCCCAGGCTGAGTGAAGGGGGGCCCTGAGGTCCCTGTTGTGGGATGCAGCCTGGAAAGAAACAGAACCACTGGAGCCCAGGATCTCCCTTAGTTTCAGCACCCCACTGGGCAGATGGTCAGTGTTCTTAAGGATGTTCATTCAGGAGAGGATTCCCAGGGTTACTGGAATGAGCACAGACTTCTGGGTCTGTTTCTCAGAACACTGCCTTGGTAGATGGGGCCTGATAATCCTCAGATCCAACAGTCTTCAGGTGCAGCTGCACCACTGGCCCAGGGCCAGAGAGACCCTGAGCTTTTAAACCCTGGACACAGTCTGGGTGTCCACAAAGGCCAAGACACCACCCGGGGTGAAGGAGGACCTCACATCCCCTCCCTTAGCTCAGATGGGTGCGCCCGCACCTGCCAGCGCTGTTCTGCGCAGGCTCACAGCGCTCTTTGTCCAAATCGCCCACGCAGTCCTCCGCGCCATCGCACTCAGCCCCTTTTGGGACACACTCACCACTGTCACAGCGGGGCCCAGCTCCTGATGAGGACTCTGGGGCAGAACCAGACTCTGATGGCTCCTACCCAGCTGGTCCTAGTCCCTCCAACTCCACCCAGCCCAGCCCTGCCTGCCCCCTAGACCCACTACACACACACACACACACACACACACACACACACACCAGCCTGACCCCACTCAGCTCCACCCAAAGGCCCCCAGCTCCGCCCTTCCTAGCTCTAGTCCCTGCCAGAAACCACCCCCAGTCTCTACCTAGTGCACAGCCCCCTAGCCCCGCCCACACCCCAGCCCTGTGAGACTCCCTAGTCCCACCAAGACACACCCCCTTCTGTCCATTCCTACTCTAGGCCGCCTAGGACCCCCCAGACCCGCCTCTGTGTGGCTCACAGGACCCCTAACCCCACCAGGAGACCCCCTAGTCGCACCACAATATCCCCCTTCTGCCCATTCCTAGCTCTAGCCTGCCCAGGACCACCGCAGCCCCGCCTTATCGCTTCCCTACTCGGACCTGGCTCACAGCCCAGAAGCTGCAAGAGCACAGAGACCCCCGGCTGAGGGTCCCTGAGCTGCACCCGCACGTGGCGCGCTTGCACCATCCGGCTGAAGATCCACTTGGCAGGGCTTTGCCTGTCCCCGCTCTCAGGATAGGCCTGAGGGGCGTGAGAGTGTCACTCTTCAGCTTCCCCCACCCCGTCCCACACACACCAGCCCCAACAGGCCCCCACACCGCCAGTTCGGACTGCTGTCACCACCAGCCACCAAGGCTCTGGTTCCTGCAGACTGGGTGAGGCCTGGCTCTGGTTGCTGCCCAGGTGCAGTGCAAATCCCAGGCACACAGTAGCCTTCCCACAGCCCTCACCAAGGGGCAGCCCTGTACCTGCAGCCGGAACAGCAGGCCACCCAGGACTTCCCGGTCCTCGAGCCAGTGGAGGCCATCGGCACTGAACTGCAGAGAGACTTCAGCTGCGACCTCCACCCCCTGCACCAGCACACCTGGAAGGAAGGCAGAGTCACCCCAAGAGGCAGCACGGCCCCCACCAACCCCCAAAGCCCACACTGACCCGTGAGGTTCCGGGGCTGCTGTAGGTCCAGTTGTAGGGAGCGGGGTAGGATGTGCAGACCAGCCTGGTTCCCCTCAGGGCTTCCCTCGGAGGAAACACCCAGGAAGGTGGCCTGGGCTGCAAGCTCCAACTGCTGGGACAGTACTTGCAGGACACCCTGGGGGCGTCCAGTCAGGACCAGGGGAGAGTAGCAGGAATCTAGGGGCATAAAGGCAACTGGATTGGGCCAGGATGAACAGCCAGGAGCAAGGGCGTTAATTAGGGACTCGGCCCCACACAGCTGACAGAGACCCCGAACAGGAGGAGGAGAGCCCAAGAGCACAGGCGAGAGGCCAGCCACAGGTGTCTGGTGTCCTCCTGAAGGATACCTCTCCTCCTGGGTTGGGCAACTTCCTCTATCCCCACCCCACTTCCAGCAACCTGTCCTTTCTTTACCTCCTGGTGGAGGCAGAAGGTATATGGCCAGAGAGGGTCTCATCTGCGGGCTAGGAGGAGGAGCAGAAGCCAGAGTGGCCGGAGGGGGTGCCGTCTGTTTCCCCCCTGTGTGGAGGAACACAGATGGGCTCACTCGCTCATTGGAGCACTTCTTGTCCCATGACTTCAGTGGAGAAAGACTGGCAACAACTGGCAGGCAGTTAAGAAAGGGCTCTCCTCCCCAGTCATAAGTTGGGATATTCAGGTTGATGGGAAAGCTAGAGAACAAAACTCCCCGTCTGAAACCACCTTAAGGGCACCCCCGGCAGCTGTACCCCTCATCCCTGCCTGTGGGATTAACAGAGCACATCCACAAGGCTGTGGGTAGACCACATGGGGAAGGGAATCCTCCATTCTCTTCCTTGATTAACAACAGTCTATATGTTGGTCTGTCTTCACCTAAGCCAAGGGGACAAGGGGCCAAAGATGTGAATCTAGGCCACTAAGTGATTCCTTTTTTAAGTCTTTGTTCTGTTCATTTTAAAACCAACATCGCAGAACACATGCTCCTGAGAAACTCATATCAAAGCGTCTCCACCATTAGAGGCGAACGGGAAGGCCCAGCAAAAGCAGAGGACACAGCACCTGAGGGCCAGCCTTCCTTGAGCCCGAATCCAAGGTGTCAGTCAGAGAGACTCAGTGCGCCCACCCTGGCCCCTCTCAGTGGCACATCCTCCTTCCTTTGGGTACCCCTGCCACCCCCAGATCCACTCACCAGGCAGCATGAGCACACAGTGGCAGCACCTGGATCCCACCCCCTCAACCAGCACCCAGCCCTGTGGGTACAGGAGTGAAGTGTAAATGCTGTGTCCTGAGCCTCAGATGACCCTGCAGCCCACGTCACACCACCACCCACAGCCCCTTACCTGGGGGCAGCCGCCCAGTGGGCAGTAGAGGGAACAGCCCATGGTGCCATTGTATAAGCACTGGCACACCTCACAAAGGCCCCGGCGCCATCGTTGCCCTACACGGAAAGTCCGGCCCTGCCATTCACACACCCCACATGGCTCCGTCTGGCATCTGGGAAGAGTGGCCTGGTGAGAAGGCTTCTCCTCCTACCATGCCCATGTCCAGGGTTTATGGAGAATCAATCACCTGTAACCCACCCTACTCTTGGCCCCTGAGCAGTGAAGACAGGTGATGGGCAAACCCCCGATCAGTGGCCCCAACCCAGCAGCCTAGGTGGCCCCCATGGGCATCACAAGTACCCAGCACACAGGTCAAGGACCGCACCTGCCCTGTGCTTGGCCTCCTCGCTGCCACTATCACTGCACCTATGGGCTTTCCCTACCCACTCTCACCCACATTTGGGTTTCTTAATGAGAACCCAACAACCTAAAAGAACCTCTCAAAAGCTCTTGAGTCAAAACCAGTTCAGAGATGACCCTACAGCAGGCTGGTGGCCCACCTTTCTCCCTAGGAGCAGCTGGTGGGTTCCTACACACTTTACAGACTGCACCACCAGAGCTCCCTATGTTTGCGCTTGTTGTGTACTGTCGAGTCAGAAGTGACCCACAGCTGATCCTCGAGTGGGTGTCAGAGGTAGTAAATCACACAGGAGGAGAAGGCTCATGTTTCTCCTGCACAGCAGCTGGTGGGTTTGAACCGTGTATCTGTATAGGCAATGCAATTCCTTACCATTAAGCCACCTGACATTTGGGCTTAGAAGCAAGAAACAAAAAGATAGAGTCCTCAGATGTGCTGGGTGTCAGGCATGGTGGAGGCGAAAGCCCCAAAAGACTTCTACCTATGGGCTGCATGAGGACTGGATGAGAGTCTGGTCACTTCAGTACTGGAGGTGAGGGTAAGGTCCCTACAGGCCCCCAGCAGTGAGGGTCAGATCCCTGCAGGCCTGAAAGTGAGGGTCAGGTCCCTGCAGGCCTGGAGTTAAGAGTCAGGACCCTGTAAGCCTGAGGTTAAGGGTCAGGTCCCTCCAGGCCCTGGGTAGTAAGGGCTGGGTCCCTACAAGTTTGGGAGTGAGAGTCAGGTCTCTGAAGGCCTGGGGATGTGGGTCAGGTCCCTACAGGCCCCAAGGACTAAGGGTCAGATCTCTGCAGGTATGGGGTTAGGGCTGGCTCCCATAGGTGGCAATGGTCCCTGCATAATCCCCAGGGGTGAATCTTCTCAGGTGGGGGCGGTACCTGCGAGCCTTGCGGTGGATACCTCGGCACTGGCTACCTCTGCCAGAGTGTTGGGGGTTGGTGGGGCTCCTGAAAGACCACTGGACACTGTGGCTCCCACAGGGACCCAGGCACCTGGCCCAGGTGGACCAGGCTGACCAGCCACAGTTCACTAAGGAAGGGTCAAAGATAAAGTGCTGAGGTCACCCTCGTGTAGTGCCCCCTTCTCAGACTGATGACCTAAAACCTAAAAAAGAGTTCCCAGACGAGTTATCCAATATGGGCTGGTCTCCCTGGGGATGGGCAGGAGGGCTTACCACTGCAGTCCTGGCTGGGCTGGCAGTTCTGGGGCCGCCCATCTTGGCAGATGCAGTGCTGACAGTTGGCCTCTATGTGTTGGCCAGCCCAGTAGTGGACACCATCCACCAAGCAAGGGCAGTGCTGGGGCCACACACAGCGCCCCTCGCTGCCCAACACCTGTCCCTCAGAGCACCAGCAGCCTGAAGAAATGCAGAGTAACAGACCTGTCTTGAGCACCTGACCACATCACATCCCCACCACTGTGGCTCCTGGCTGGGCCTCACCTGGGCTGCACGGCTGGTCAAGAGGGCATGAGCCTTGACTGGACACATCCTCACAGGTCAGAGGGCAGGGGGCACAGGGCCAAAGCACCAAGTCTTCAGGGCAGGTGGTATTAGAACAGCCATCCTGAGTGCAGAGCTCTGCATGAAAACCAGAATGGGTCATGAGACAGTCCACCACATTCCACTTACCCCTTGTTGTTATGTGCCGTTGCGTCACCTGCGACTCATAGCAACCCTATGTACAACATCCCTAAACCTGCTATATCCTGTGTCAATCCGTCTCTGACACACCTACCCCCTTTAACCTATCAAGGGTCTTCCTCTCCTGTACTGTCCCTCCACACTTCCAAGCATAACGTCCCTCTCCCAGGACTTATCCTGCCTTGCAACATGTCCAAACTATGTCAGATGAAGCTTCAGAATCCTTGCCTCCAAGGAGCAGCCTGGCTTCACCCTCTCCAGGATGAACTTGCTTGTTCCTCTAGCAGTCCATGGTATATTCAGTACTCTTCTCCAGCACCACAGCTCAAAGGCATCAATTCTCCTTCTATCCTCCCTAGTCATTGTCCAGCTTTCTGGTGAATAGCAAGTAATTGCAAAAACCATGGCCTGGATCAGGAGCACCTTAGTCTCCAGACTGACATCGTTGCTCTTCAGTACTTTGGAGAGGTCTTTGACAGCAGATTTTCCTAATACAATTAGTCTTTTAATTTCCTGGCTGCTGGTACGAAGAGTGTTGAGTGTGGAGACAAGCAAACTGAAGCTTTTAACAATCTCAATCTCCTTACACTCTATCATGATGCTGCCTATCAGCCCAGTAGTGAGAATCTTTGTCTTCTTGATGTTGAGCTTCAATCCGTATTGAATACTGCAGTCCTTGACCCTCGGCAGCAAGCACTTACTCCTCACTTACCCCTACCTAAGAACTACATCCACCCCTCACCACATACCCTTGCCTGCAAGACAGATACACCATTCCCCACATATTCCTACCTACAAGATAGATCCACACTCCCCACACACCACTACGTACGAGACAGGACCACCACTCCCCACACAGCTCTACCTATGAGACAGGTCCACCACTCCCCACACAGCCCTACCTATGAGACAGGTCCACCACTCCCCACACAGCTCTACCTATGAGACAAGACTACCACTCCCCACACAGCCCTACCTATGAGATAGGTCCACCACTCCCCACTCATTCCTTGCCTTCCCTCTCACTCCTCAGCCTACACAGGATTCCCTGCCACACTCCTCAATCTGAAAACACATACCCCTATCTCCACTACTCAGTGTGCACGTATACACACACATACATACAAATGTGCACATGTGGGTATATAAATACACACACAAATACACACATGCATGCACACATATACATATACAAGTGTGTGCAAACACACACGCATACGTATACACTATTATTGTTGTTGCTGTTGTTAGGTGATGTTGAGTACAACTCATAATGACCAAAAGATCCATCTGTCATCAGCAATGATATCCTTGGTGGTACAGCCTCTATGAAATCCAGTTTAACTTCAGGCAGTTCTCTGCTAAGGTACTGTTCTAGCCTTTCTGGAATAAACGTCAGCAAAATTTTATTTGCATGTTGTTGTTGCTATGTGCCACCGAGTCGTTTGTGACTCATAGCGACCCTATGTACAACAGCCCTAAACCGTGCTCTATCCTGTGCCAATCTCATTGCCTCTGACACACCCATCCCGATTACCCCAGTC